AGCGAACTCACTAATAATATCGCCGAAGAGAGGCTGGGACGCGTGGTCTAAACCGTCCCACGGAGGCTGAGTGCCATCAGGCTCGCACTCATCAGGAAGATTCTGAAGATGCTCGCTCACAGCAGGCTGACTCTGCTGCACGCCAAAATTAAGTGCACGACTGAGAGTATCATCACGAAGAGTCTGGGTGGCAATCGCGTCTTGCGTACCCGAGGCCTTTGCCACCGTAGGAGTATGACCGATCACCACTTGCCCTATCGCCACCGGCGTCACGTGTGGAGCTGGCGGCTGCTTGGAAGAGGAAGCAGCAGCACCATCATCTGGAAGAGCTGCCTGAGACTCACGCTCCTGTGACGAGATTATCTCCACATCACACGACTTGTCAACTGCATTGCCCTGGGTGCGTGCTTCTTTCACGGCGCTGACTCCATCTTTGGCTTCAGCATGGTCGGAGTCGTCACGCAGCCGTTTGAGGAAAGCACGCTGTTCTTGGGTAGGGTCGTGTGCCCTGCCCCGAATCTGCAAACCAATAGGGATCTCGAGAACCACATTCTTGTTGTACCCGATGGGAAGTTCCTTCAGGTCGACTTTGAGCACAGGATACTGAGAGAAATCAACTGTAACATATTCTTTGCCACCTGAAGAAGCCATTGACCTCACACAACCGTTCGGTATCAATATGGACCGAAGCATGCGTGAACAAAAATGGATGCGGACGTGAGTGATAAGCGTTGAAAGTAGAGTGCAATGCAATGCGTGCTTCTAACATGCAGGATGCTTAACGCGTGCTGTGTTAGGCAATGGGGCACACTGCTCTGCAATGCAGTGATACGTAATGTAATGTCTATCGTGGTTCGCACGATTATGCTACGCAACGCAATGTAAGCAATGCTATGCTATGCGCTATGCTACGACATGTGAGCAGGGCACGGCACAGCACCACTTGTGCAATAGAGCTTTTTGTAGTTGATACAACAGACATTGGGTTGCCTTATGTTTTCTCTTCCCGCCCTCTCTGGGCGTCTCGTCTGGCGGTCGTGTTCGGAGGAGCTGGTGGTGGCGGGGGTGCGCGAAGCGCCACTAATATACAATCTCAAGGAATGCCCAACGCATGTGAGACTTGTTTGGAGTGTGTACGAGGCTTGATTGGAGCTGGGTCCAAGCTTCTTCGAAACATGTTCGGGGCTTGATTGATACTTGTTTTGGACGTGTTTGAAACTTGATTGCTCTTTGTTGGAGACCTGTGAGAGACCTGTTTGAGACTTGTTTGGGACTTGTGTGAGCCTTGTGCGAGACCTGTTTGAGACTTGTATGGGACCTGTTTGAAACTTGTTTGAGACTTGTTTGAGACTTGTTTGGGGCTTGTGCGAGACCTGTTTGAGGCTTGTGCGAGGCTCGTGTGAAGCACGTTTGAAGCCTGTTTGGAACTCGTCTGAGGATTGCCAAATACTCATACCCCATATCCCCACACACGAACAGTAGTAATGCTATGCTGTGCTATACAGTGCGCACGTGCCCACAGAGACCGCCGCGCGTTTCCCGAGCGATTTTGATTTACCATATGGTCGACCACATGGAATGGTTACCCGTTTCGCGGCGACCTTTTGGGCGACCATTGGGGTTACCATATTTCTAAAAAGCTGTTTTTGGCGACCATTTGGGCGACCATATGGGTTACCATATCGGTTTTTGGCGACCATTCGGGCGACCATAGGGGCGACCATATGGGCGACCACTTTGATGCCCCCCCCGCTGTTGGGTCCAGGGACGTCACGGGTCTAGGCACTGAGTCACGCATCGCCTGGCGCGTGCGCCGGCGTGCGTGCGGGGCCCGACTGGCCCTCTGTCTGCCGACTGCCGCCGGGCAATTGATGCCGGCGTGCGCGGCTGTCCTCCGTGAGGCTAGGCCTTGGGCTCGCGCCGGTACCTTGATGGCCGGCGGAGCCCGACCTCGGGCTGAGGCCCGAGGGTGTCGTCGCTGGCGCTTGGCACGGGCCGGCACTTGGCATCCCCGTCTGCGCCGCGGCCTCCAGATCTCCCGGCCCCCCGCCTCCACAGGTGCCCAAAGTGCACGGGGCGGGCAGGGTCCGGCCCCTGACAGAGGGGGTTCCCCGGGCCGGCGCTGGGGCGCGGGCCCGTGCCTGCGCATGAATTCGAGCGCCGCGGCCACCCGGGCCGTCAGACTGCCAGCTACTGTAGCACAGCTGGCGTCAGTATGCCCGGCACGCCCAGGCTTGGTATGGAGAGCCGGCGTGCCAGGCGGGTTCCAGCGTGGTCCTCGTCCAGGGCTGCAAGGGGACCCACAGTATCCCAGGCACTAGTGGGGCCCTGACGGACGGGCCTGCACGCATGCTTTCGCCGTGAGGTATTAGCCGGTGCTGAAGGCACGGGCGGGTGTACTCTGCGAGCGCGCGGCTACTCGCCGGCGGGGCAGGTGGCTGGTGGCTGCACCCAAGCACGCACGGCGTGAAGCCGGCGGCTTGGGTTGGGCGCACGCCAGGTGCGTAAGCACCGGCGGCGCCCGCTGCGGCCTCTCATGGGCTCTCACGCCTGGCGCTCTCGGCGCCGGCGGCAGCTCTGCTGGGGGCGCTGTCCTTCGCCGGGTTGGTCAACGAGGAGTTGTCCCTGGCCATCTTGCCGGAGATGCCCTTCATCGGCTCGTGCGACTCCCACAGGTAGCCGTGGAACGCGTCCGACTGCCAGCGCCCGAATCGGCGCACTCGGGAGAGGTCCTCGGTCACGTGGTACATTGCAGTTGCCCCGCCGATCCTCAGGGAATGGCTGCCGATCTCTTCCCTGGAGAGGCCGGCGGCCAGCCCCGCGACCGTCAGGAAGTGCTGTACCTCTGCCCTGCGGATCGGTGTACCTGACGCCCAGCGGAAAAGGGGCAGCCGTTCCTCGGCGCCCTTTATCCGCTGAGGATGGTGAGCCTGGAGCCGCTCCATCGCCGCGATCGGGCAGAGCGATGTGCCGGCGCGGTAGTGGTTCTCCACCGTCCCGACATTGAGCTGGTCCGTCTTGCTGCCCTTGATGTAGATCACCATCTCGTCGGCGTCCTGGAAGCTGGCCACACGCTTCCCCTCCTTCTTGGGCCCCACGTCCTCCCCGTGCAGCACGCGCTCGAAGGACCACGAGCGCCCGTCCTGGAGGAGGTACTCTGAGGCCTTCAGGAGGAAGAAAAACGCTGTCACGATGGCCGCCCAGATGACCACTGCATCCTCCTCGGGGAGCTTGGCCTCCTGCTGGAGAAAGCCGCGGAGCCATTCGAGCATGGCTGGCGTGACGGGCTTCTTCCGCTTGGTCTCGGGCCCCTGCCAGCGTTTCAGCCCTGCCAGCGTGCTCCAGAGGCGGCCTCTGTGGAGCAGGGGGTCCGAGTGCATGTGAACTAGAGGTTTTTTTTTCAAATTGGGTCGGTCCGGCTGATCCGGTGATCCGGTGATCCGGCTCGGTGATCCGGTGATCCGGTGATCCGGTGAACCGGTGATCCGGTGACCCGGTGATCCGGCCACGTGACCCCGTGATCCGGTGATCCGGTGATCCGGTGAACCGGTGATCCGGTGATCCGGCCGGGTGACCCGGTGATCCGGTGATCCGGTGATCCGGTGATCCGGTGAACCTGTGATCCGGTGAACCGGTGATCCGGTGATCCGGCCGGGTGACCCGGTGACCCGGTGATCCGGTGATCCGGTGATCCGGCCGGCTGATCCGGTGATCCGGTGACCCGGTGATCCGGTGAACCGGTGATCCGGTGATCCGGCAGGGTGATCCGGCTGATCCGGCTGATCCGGCTGATCCGGCTGATCCGGTTGATCCGGTTGATCCGGCTGATCCGGCTGATCCGGTGATCTGGCCGAGTGATCCGGGTGATCCGGTTGATCCGGCTGAGCTGATCAGGCTGATCCAATTGATCCGGGTGATCCGGGTGATCCGGCTGATCTGTTGATCCGGCCGGGCAACTATCCGTTGATCCGTTGATCCGTTGATCCAGCCGCTGATCCGGGGCGATCTGGCTGATCCGGTTGATCCGTTGATCCAGCCGCTGATCCGGAGCGATCCGGCTGATCCGGTTGATCCGTTGATCCAGCCTCTGATCCGGCTGACGATCCAGGTGATCCGGGGTGATCTGGCTGATCTGGAGGCTGATCTGGCTGATCCGGCTGATGCGGCTGACGTGGCTGATCCAATTGATCCGGTTGATCGGGCTGATCCGGGTGATCGGGCTGATCGGTCTGATCCGGCTGATCCGGGTGATCCGGCTGATCTGGCTGATCCCGTTGATCCGTGTGATCTGGTGGGTACCGTTCGGTTGATCGGTGTGATCTGGCTGATCTGGCTGATCCGGGTGAAGCGGGTGATCGGGATGACCCGGCTGATCCATATGTGTGGTCTCTGACGCGCATGGTGCACCCCGTGGTCTAGAGACTTCTGCTGGATTTTCCCAGTGGGCCGGAGGCTTCTGCTGGCTCTGCCAACCCTGCGGGCCAATTCCCACTTCACCCGTCGTGCCAGCGCCGTCCGACCCGCGAGAGGCTTCCAGTCAACCCGTCTGACGCTCCAGGGGGGCCCCGCCAGACTGCGGCACGACTGGAGAAGCTGTTCCTTCTGATTGCTTCTGCTCACTCCTCCTCTTCTTCCTCCTCGTCCTCGTCGTCGTCGTCCTCCTCCTCCTCCTCCTCCTCCTCCTCCTCCTCCTCCTCCTCCTCCTCCTCCTCCCTTCTTCCTCACGCGTGGTCCCCACTCGATCGTCCTCTACCTTTCATATAGACTCCTCCTTGCTGCTCGTCGCTCGTGCTCCCCACTGCTCCTCTTCACCTCTTCTCCTCACTATTTCTTCTCCTGATCGTCCTGCTCGTCCTCCTCTCCATCCCCCTCCTGATCCTCACTCATCAATGAGATCCTGGAGAGCCTCCTTCTCCAACCTCGTCCTGATTGTTCGCTAGCTCCTCGTCCTCTTTTTTAGTAAGCATCCTTCCTCATCTGCGTTCGTGTTCTGTCATACGAGCTTTTGAGTGCTCGAGTCGTCACGCCTGTCCTCACAATGCCGGCGACCAGCGATGAGGCACTCGAGCGCAAGCGTAAAGCCACCCTCCAGCGCAAGCGGAACGCAGCAGCCAAGCGGATGCTGCGAAAGCCCTGGGTAGCTGCGGCTTTTCGAGCCGCGGCCAAAGCCCAGGCGGCCAAACTCCACGCCGACGCTGCCAAGCTGAAGCGCGAGAACTCCGAGCTCAAGCGCGCGAACACCGAACTCACCAAGGACCGTGCCCACGCCACCAAGAAGCTCAAGCGCGAGAACTCCGAGCTCAAGCGCGCGAACACCGAGCTCACCAAGGACCTCACCTTGCAGGCGCGCCGGCATGAGGGAGCGCTCCAGAACCTCGGCCGGGACTTGGACGCCACGGAGCAGGCCGGCTGGCGCGGGCAGGACCGCGAGAAGAACCTGAAGGCGCAGCTCCGGCACGCTAACTCGGAGCTAAACCAGCACCGCCTGAAGGACAAGCGCTTGAAGCGCTGGGGCACGCAGAGGGACTTGAGCCGCTTCGCTTACCTGACCGGCGACCCACCAACCAAGGGTGGCAAGTCGCTCCGGCACAACTGCATGGGCAGCCAGTGAGGGAACGCCAGCAGGCCACTACTTCGGCCCTCTGTGGGGCATTTTCGCGGCCGCCTTTGCTTCCCCGCTCCGAGGGGGACTTTTCGCGGCCGCCTCCTCCTCACAGGCTGACGCCGCCTTCCGCGGGCCCCGGGGGCGCGGCTCCCAGACGGACAAGCGACAGGGGCACTGGCGTCCTGGCGCTGTAGGACGGAGGGGGGTCCTGTTTTGGATCCCCCTATTGTGGGTTCCTGCGCGCGCGCGCCCCCCTGCGCAGGCGGCGCTCCGCCAGATCGGCCGGCGCCACTTAGTCCCTGACCGCTGCAATTTAGTTGCCGTCTGTGGCCCAGACCAGCTCGACCGTTTGCGGTGCGCTCGCAACTCCGCGGACCAAAAATGTTTTCCTTCTCGGTCAGCGTTCGCCTCCTCCGCCCCCCCTCCCAGAACTACCCCCTCTTCCCAGCATGGGGTGTATCCAGCATGCGTGCGCCACTCCCTGCCCTGTATGTTTGATGCCCACGATCAACTGGCGTGCGTTTGCCCCCCAGCGTGAACTCCGTTTAAGGTTTTCTGCGGCCCGTTGCATTTCGCCACATGCCGGGCGCGGCGCCACCAGGTGGCGGCGGATTTCTCACAGGGATCCGCGCGCATCTTCGCCACTAGTTCTGCTATCGCAGCACTGGGCAATTGGGCGGGCCTTGTCCAGGCGTGTCGCGCCTCTTGAGACACCCGCAAATGACAGAAAAGCAGCCGTGTGCTAGTCCCCCCCCCTCCCCCCCCCATGTTGCACATTGCACAACTGCGATATTTGTACGTGAAACTAGCATTGCGGCTCGGGGGAGACAGGGAGGGGCGGGGGCAGGCATGGGCTGGAAGGCAAAGAGAGAGGGAGAAGGAGGTGGATGGCGAGGCCGGGGGAGGGCGTGGAAGTTTTGGGTGCGCAGGAGTTTTGAGAAGTGTAACGGGGGAGCAGCAAAGAGAACTCGGGTGGGAAGGAGTGCGGGGCATTGCGGGGAGGTGCTTTGGAGCGAGGGGCTCGGGTTCCAGAGGGAGATGCGGGGCGGAAAGGAGTGAGTGGAGTAGCGTAGGAAGCAGAGAGAGAGAGAGAGAGAGAGAGAGAGAGAGAGAGAGACTGGAGGAAGACGGGGGGATGGAGTCGAGTGCTTGGTTTTGGAGGAAGGTGAGTAAAGAGGCGGAGGCGGATGAGGAGGAAGAGGGGTAGGAGCAAGAGCAGGAGCAGGAGGAGGCGGAGGGGGGATGATGCTGATGATGGTGATGATGATGATGCTGGCGACGATGATGGTGGTAATGTTGATGACGATGATGATGATGGTGATGATGATGGTGATGGTGATGGTGATGATGATGATGGTGGTTGTGATGGTGGTGATGACGACGAAGATGATGATGGTGATGATGTTGTTGACGATGGTGCTGGTGATGTTGTTGTTGATGATGATGACGATGAGGCTGGTGATTATGATGATTGTGGTGAGGATGGTTGTGATGATGCTGATGATCATGGTGGTGGTGGTGATGATGGTGATGGAGGCGGTTGTAAATAACGATGACCATGATGATGTTGGTGAGGATCGGGCGGATGATGCAGAGGACGGGGAGGAATATGAGGAGGATGGCGATCATGATGATGAGGAGGAGAAGGAGAGTAGGAGTTGAGAGGACGAGGTTGATGATAACGATGATGATGAGGAATGAGGAAGGTCTGGATGAGGGGGAGGGGGAGGGAGTAAGGATAATGATGATGATGATGACGATGATGATGATGATGATGATGATGAGGATGATGATGATGATGATGATGCGGATGATGATGATGCTGCTGATGATGATGAGGAGGAGGGGGAGAAGGAGGAGGGAATGAGGCTGATGATGAAGACTAGGAGGTGGCGGAGTGCAGAGGACGATGATGGGGTGCATGCGGAAAAGGCGGAGAAGCGGGAGGGAGAGGATGATGACGATGATGATTAAGAAGAAAAAGAAGAAGAAGAAGAGGAGGAGGAGGAGGAGGAAGTGGAAACGGTGGAGTGGAGCGCAGGCCTCCGGGGGCTTCTGGACACCAGAGACCTCCGAGGGAAGCAGTGCGGTCGAGCGTGGAGGAGTTCGGGGCGGAGCGCAAGCCTCTTGGGAGTTCTCTTGGCTGAGAGATTCAGGCATTCTGCAGCCTCCCCCCGCGCATTCGGATCCATGGCCGAACCAGTCCTGAAGCGCCGGCGCCATGTGGAGGCCGACGCTTCTTGCGCATTGGAGCGCGAGCTTGCTTCAGCAGTGGCGTCCGGTTCCAAGCCCGCTGAGGACCCTTTGCCCTCCTGTGTCAAGCTAATCCGGGACTCCGTGACGGAGATCGTCAACGTGGAGAGGTGGGTGGACTTGTTCGATGCGTCGAGACCGTGCACCGAGCGGACCAAGGCGCTCGACGTGATTCTGGACATGCCGGCAACGTACGAAGTGCTGGGATCCAGCTTGGACGACATGAAGAAGCACGTGTACACCTTGACCGAACAGCTCCTCACGGTTCACGGGAAGGATAAAGGCTTCACGTTCGATGACGCCATCCAGCACCACTCGAAGTACAACGTGCGCGCTATGTGCGGGGCTTTGGCCTCGACGCGGAACATCCACCTAGGGAATGCTTTGTCCGTGGACCCCCTCGTCGCCCGGGCGCCGTACACGGCGGTGAGCATGTACCTCCTTCCAAGCCCTTGCAAGCTCGCGGACAAAGTGGTGCACGAGCGGCCGATGCCCATCGGCGGCTCCAACACCAGGAAGTCCAAGTTGCACGCCCGTGCGCGGACTCTTCTGACGGAGAGCTTGAAGGAGAAGTTGTGCGACAAGGGTTTACAGTACAAGTGGGCGCCGCGGCCAGTAGGCGGACAGGCCGGTGGACAGCGAGGCAAAGCCGGAGGAGCTAAAGGAGGAAAGGGTGGCAAAAAAGGAGCGCGGGAAAAAATCATGTGCCACAGCTCGCGCGTGCACAGGCCCGCGTTGTCGTCGTGTGATGCCCCCCCCACCACCACCGCCACCACCGTGGGGCCATCCGCCCACCCGGGCGCGCTCGTCTGCGCGGAGTGTCCGCGGGGCCTGGTTTAGGCGCGCCGTTCTGCTGAGGTTTTACCGCTCAGGGTGGGCCAAAACTGTCGCCTGGTGGTCGACTCTCGGGGGTGCGGTTACGTCGTGTCTGCGTGGGGGTCTCCCAGCCTGCGCCTCTCACGAGCGCCCACAAGCGGCAATGGCTCGTGCATCCGAAGCCACCTCCTGAGCAGGAGCGGGGAATGTCCTTCCGCAGGGTGCTGGGCAGCTTCCGCCTGCTGGTGCCGACGACGAGCCTGGAGAGGTGAACGCCAAGGCCATAGCTGCGGACTCCACGCTCGCGTGGCTGTTTATCAACGCGCGCGTCACGTTCGAGGGCCTCATTGACCAGGCCAACGAGCAGGCGGTGTCGATTGAGAACGGCCTTGGCCCTCGCATTTTCTATGCTTCCGAAGAGGGCTCCTTGACGATGGCTCTGCCGGGCCAGCCGGCCAAGGCCGGCGCGTTGAGCTTCGAGGAGTTCATCCTTTTCTCGGACGGCTCCGCGGCCAAAGTCGCCGCAGGGTGCAAGCGCTTGATGGTGGACGCGAACATCGGCGGGCTCGTCATGATTCAGCCGACCCAGATTCCAGCTGTCTACGGGCAGTTATCTGGGCGCAATCCCACGAAGAGGTGGCGCGTCTGCTTGAACGACGATTCCCTCACCACGAACACCGAGGACATTCAGTCTCGGATCGGCGCCGATTGCAAGGTCCTCCCAGAGGGCGAAAAAAAGAGACGGACGACGTGGAGGAGGATGTGGAGGAGGGGGCGAGGACGAGGAGTGGGGCGAGGAGGGATGCGGGGGGGAGAGGAGGGGGAGGAGGAGAAGAAGGAGGAGAAGGAGGATGGGGGAGGAAGAGGGGGAGGAGGAGGATGGGGGCGGCGGAGGAGGAGGGGGGGAAGAGGAATGATGATAGTGAACGTGCGCCGCGCCTCAGTGGGAACGTTACATGCACGGGAAATTGTCGCGGCGTTGAAGCGAGGGCCCTGTTTCGAGCTGTCGCGCGGGGCCCTGGCCCCGGCGACATGAAACGTGAAAGACATGCGCGGCGCCCGAGCGGGAGCGCGATTATCAGGGCAAATCTGCGCGTCGCACAGACGATCAGAACATGTCCGTGCCTCGCGCGCGAGGCGGGCCGCATTCCACCTTGCCTCGCATTTGGCCGCGTCGACGGCGAAACGTTCATGTTGGAAAGGGAAGACTGGATGTCGAGAGTCGCTCCCTGGAGTGCCGCGCGGCAGGTCTGCATTGCCTCGGAAGCGGAAGGCCTGGGACATCAGCTCGACAACTTTTTCCCGAAGGTCCGCCTGGTTAACGGCGCCATCCGCATGGCGGAGGGCGAGCAGAAGCCGCGGGCTGATTTCGACCTCGACGACAATGGGCGCCAAAGTATGCTCAGCCTTTGGGAAGCCATTTGCCGGGCTTGCAACGCGTGCACGGGCCGCGAGGACCCGCGGATGCGCGATCACTTCACTGATTCCCTTGGCATATTCCAGCGCCGCGTCTTCAAAGTCTACGTGGAGACGGTCAATGACATGAACGTTCTGTTGCCCGTGGGCATCCCGCGCATCACGTACGGGAGCAAGATCCCCTGGCAATTTGTCGTCAAGTCGGTCGTTGACTGGGCCCGCGAAGCTGTCGACGTGGCCGCCGCCCAGCGCCCAGTGTTGCTCGACGGCGGCCGTGCGATTTGTGAATTTCATTTTCGGGGCCCTGTCGCGGGATTAGTGAGGGCACCTTGGGTTGTTATAGCGCTCGTGGCGATTGGGGGCTTCCGATCGGATCTGCCGGGGCCTTCGTGGGGGGCTCTCTGGGGCGTCTGCCTGGGCCCCCTGTAGGATCGTCGGGGCAGGCTACCGCGGGGCAGTTTTCCTTGTGGAAGCCGCTGGCCCCAGAAATTCCTAAGGTTTCTTGTGATGCCAGCCGCCGACGTGCACCAGCCCAGTCCTACACCGAGGTCCCGCCCTTGAAAGTTGGGCTTGTGCCCGTGGAAGCGGACGCGGGCGATCGCCCGGTGCACATGTATGCCGAGGAGATGGCGTGCATGGTGGTCATGGGCAAGGCCAACCAGGAGGGCGTCATCACGATCGACGCCGCCATCAGCGCCGTGAAGAACTACGGGCGCTCTGGCGCGGGGAAGGAGCTTTTCAAGGAGCATAAATGGGCGAACCGTCCCGGCATGATGAAGATTGCGGCACTCCTCCGGTCCATGGACTTGTTAAAGGGGTTTCACGAGTTCGACGATGCGGATTTCCAGCCCATTACCAACGACGTGGGTTTCCCATCTTGGATGTATTCTATCACGATCAAGACGGACGCCGACGACGGTGGCCACCCCATGTCTTCGCAGATATTCTTGGAGAAGCTTGTTAAGTTAAAGACGGTGGTTGGTACGCTTGTCCCACGCCCGGTTGATTCTCTCCTCTACCTCGACGGTGTCGGCAAAGATTGGCCCGCTTGCTTCGGAGAGGTGTCGCATCTCTTCACCTTGCTGCGCGCCAACCCAGGGTACATCGCCACGGAAGGCCAGGCGAAGCAGGAGTATGGGGCCGATGCCAACGCGAGGGGGGCCCACGCTTGGGCCAAAGATGCGTGCCTGTGGTTGCTGGACCACTGGGCAGGCACCGGGGAGATGGCCACGGTGGATGCGCTCCTGCAGGAAGACGTGAAACAGTTCCAGGCCTTTGCGTACGAGGGGTTCGTGTCGGATGCTTACAACACCGTCCTGGGGGGCGAGGCTAGCGACGGCCAGTTCGACTGAGCGCGGTCGCGTGCGCAGTGGCTCCAGATCGTTGGGGCGCAGACGCTCCGAATCTCAGGTTAAAGGGGGGCTTTCGTTTCCGAGAGCGGAAGGGTACGTGGTCATTCACGGCCCGCTGTTTTGACCGCTCACAGTCCATGCTGACGTGTATATCACAAACATTTGCTTTGGGGGTGCACTGCTGGGGAAGCACTTGCATTCCTCCTCCATGCCCGTCTGTGTGCTCGGCCACTTCGGTCACGTGGCCCTTCGCTTCCTTGCACTATTGCACGCGCAGCGCTTCGGTTCGAGCTACAAAAGTATGAGGCTGGATCAGAGAAGGCAGGGTATTACTGAGGTCGCATCGCCGTGCGTGCCCGCACTTCTGCCCAGCAGTTCGCCCCGCCGCTGCAGCATAGCTTGCACCACACAGGTTGCACTGCATAGATTGCACCACATAGATGGCACCGACTGATTGCAGCGCATAGATTGCACCACATAGACTGCACCACATAGATTGCACTGCATAGATTGCACGGCGTCGATTGCACCACCTAGGTTGCGCCATAACATAGACTGCATCTCATAGACTGCACCGCGTACATTGCACCACATAGGTTCAACACATAGATTGCAACACCTAGATTGCACCACAGAGATTGCACCACACAGATTGCACCGCATAGGTTGCACTGCATAATATTATAGAGCCAACTGTTTTTTTGTTTTCTCTCTCTCTCTTTCTCTCTCTCTCTCTCTCCCTCTCTCTCTCTCTCTTTTTCTCTGTCTCTGGTGGGCAAATGGAATCAGGGGGCTGTCCCGGCGTCGCTCGAGGCCGCCGGGGCCCGGGCAGGGGCAGTCCGCCGAGGGCCAACGTGCCGAACCAGAGCCGTCTCTCACCAGAGCCGGCTTCCATCCTAGTAACGAGGTGGGGAGGAGGAAGTGGAGTTCGAGGAGGAGGAGGAGGAGGAGGAGGACGACGACGACGACGAGGAGGACGAGGTTGAGAAGGAGAAGGGGGAGGGTCCGAAAAAGCGGGCGGGAGGAAAGGGAGGAGGATGATGAGGAGGATGAGGAGGAGGAGGAGGAGGAGGAGGAGAAGGAGGATGAGGAGGCGGAGGGGGACGACGAGTGGAGGAGCAAAGTGGGGAATGACGGCGGAGCAGGAGACGGAGGGATACCCGGAGGAGGAGGAGGAGGAGGACGACGACGACGACGACAACCACGACGAGAAGAAGGATGAGGACGACGAGGAGGATGTGGAGCAAATGGACGGGGAGGGGGATACGCGTATTACTTTTGCACGCGGGGCTGAAGTATGGTGGCCTTCGGCTCATCCCGCCACCCTGTTTGAGACGTGGACAAGAGGCTTCCAGGAGCATCTGGAGGCCTCTTGGGGTGCCGTGTGGGGGCCTATTGGAGGCCTCTTCGGGGTGTTATTCGAGAATTTGTCGGGCCCTGTTGGGAGCCTCCCATGGGTTCTTCGGGAGCTTCGGGAGGCTTTTTACGGGCTTCGTGGAGAGGTGCTGGCTATCCCGTGAGCCTCATGACGATGATGATGACGAGCACCGCCGATGAGCCAAACTGTGCCCATGAGAGGATGAGGAGGTACAACCCGACTGGTTGACAACGATGATGGTGGTGATGATGGTGGTCAGGACCATGACGACGATGATGGCGATGGCAATGATGATGACGATGATGAGGGAAAATGATGATGAGGAGGAGGATGAGGAGGAGAATGATGATGGCGACGATGGTGATGGGTGATGGTGACGGTGATGGATATGATGGCGACGATGATGACGATCATGGTGACGATGGCGATGGCGATGACGATGATGATGATGATGATGATGATGATGATGATGATGATGATGATGATGATGATGATTGTTATTGTTATTGTTATTGTGATGATATCAAAGATAATGATGATTATGATGATGATAGTGATAATGATAATGATGATGATGATGATGATGATGATGATGATGATGATGATGATGATGATGATGATGATGATGATGATGATGATGATGATGATGATGATGATGATGATGATGATGTAAATGGCGATGATGCTGATGAACATATGATGGTGATGATGATGGGGATGGTTCTGATGATGACGGCGACGTTGATTTTGATGCTGACGATGACGACGGCGAAGAGTTTGATGATGATTACCATGATGGGGGTGATGATGATGAGGGGGATTAGGCGTAGGAGGGCGAGGGGGGAAGAGAGGTCCTTTGGCCTAGGCTCGATCTGGCCCAGGCCTGCGTGTCGATCCGATGCTTGATCTTCCCCCTGCCACGTTGTCCCCGGAGAGGCGTCCGAGGCAACCGGTTACTTTTTCGAAAGTATGCGCAGTGCTCGCCCTCGGCATCCTCACAACTTCAGGTTGCATGATGCGGTTGTCGAAATGATCTGGCCCGTTTCGCGTGATACACCCACGCAATTCAAGGCTCTGAGATGCCCTGAGTTGAGGTGTTCTTGCCCGACTCGCTTTGGATCCTTTGAATTCAGGGTTGCAAGATGCGGTTCTGGCAATGTTCTGGCCCGTTTCGCGTAAGGCATCATCCCGACTCTGGTTTCCAACATGCCCTGACTTGAGGTGATCTGGCCCGATTCGTTTGGAACATTCTCACAACCCGACGTGTTCTGGCCCGTTCCGCGTGAGACATCTTCGGAACTTTAGGTTACGAGATGCCCTGATTTGAGGTGCTCTGACCGGATTGGCCTGGGACTTCTTCAGTCCATATTGGAGGCATTGGGGGCCGGCTGCGAGTAGCTGCTCTTTCAACATCCCACGAGGATGTCTCAGGCGAGAGCCTACTGCTTAAATGTACGAGTTCGCGAGTTCACTCTGCATGCCCATTTTCTTTGGATGCCTGTAGCGAGAGTTTCATTTTGACAGAGTGGCCTCGTACATATTATCTCCCGACATGTATTCGTTGTGCGGGTCTCGCAGGCGAAACGGGTGTTCTGAGCCATTCGACACCGTCTTTGTATCCGTATGGCAGACGGTTTCGGCCCGAGGCCATTGGGTACATTCTCGAAGGTATCAAGTTGTGAACATCCAGCCGCAAACGAATCATCGAAAGTGCTCGGGAGCCCCGGACTCGGGCAGGAAGGGGGACAATAGAGCTGAAACCGAGGGGACCGACCATTCTCCCCCACCCCGCGCTCATACATACCCGCACCCCTGGCCCTTGGTCATTTGACTCCAGGTTGCGTCCGCTCGCTCTTAAAATGCCCAAGACCAGACACGCGAATCGATATGGGGTCCTCGTTAGTACCGTACTTGTTTTGGATCGAAGTGCGAGGAAGCAACGAATGAGCATGGACGGCCACGAGATATTGGCCTCGTTGCGCGCAGTTGCAGCATCCCCGGCACCCGTGGAGCACCAAGCTCGTGCGGCACGTTGCGGGGAGGAAGCTGTGAGCACAGACCCGCCAGTGCAACGCGGCCAGAGCGCAGGCGACGCCGCTGGTGATATTGGTCGAGTACTTTCTGGCGGCAACAGACAGCCAGGCAAACGCACGTCTTCAATAGCGGGCGCTTCCAAGCGACCTTACCGGCCGAATCGCCCTTCGCGCAAGGGTGTGAAACACAAACCCCATAAGCCCCACAAGCCCCACAAGCCCCACACGGGCAAGAAGGATGGTTCAGCGCCTGTGCGGAAGCGCGCTGCCAAGCTGAAGCGGCGCGTGGGCATCCGCACGAACAGGCTTGAAGACGGCGGTGGTTTGCCGAAGCGCGTTCGGCGTGCTGTGCGGCGCGATGCAGTTCTCAATCTGGTTCGCCCTGGCCGTGACAGCGCATCTTTGAAGCCGAGCTCGTCCGAAGCAGTGCCGGACACCGCATGGATGGCAGGCGTTGACAGATTGACGTGCGGAGCTCGCAATGACCGATTCGAGTTGTTACGGCGGCTCACATTGGCGAACATCCCCTTTGTCGCATCATTGCCTGGCGCCACAGCAGGGTCTTCCCCCCAAACATCGGGAGACTGGTGGCGGTCCTCAGTGGCCCGAGGTTGGCAGCTGAAGTTGAACGGTGGTGAGTTGGTCATCGCTGGCGGTCGCGCCAAGTGGCGGGGCGGTGGTTGCGGCGGCGGCGGCCGGTATGTTGTCGCCTCTACCAGCATGGCCCCGCGGGGCGCTGGCTACGTCCTCGACGAAGAGATCATTGTCTCGCTGGATATGGTGAGCGAAGCCGGCGTCTTCGTGGATTGGCACGCGGCGGACTCCGTATTTGTGACGCGGGAACCCCCGCTCATCTATTCCACTGCCGCGGCGCCCATACCGGGGCTCTCGGAGCAGGCGCTGCCGCCGCTACCTCATGACCATGACAGCGTTGTCGGCGCTGATAGGTTGGACGTCCTGGTGGTGCTGCCCCAGTCAGCGCTGGCTGCGTGCGCAGCAGACGGCCACTCGCCGACGAAGTGCGGGTTGAGCAATGTCATGCGGGTGCTGGATGAGCCCGTTCCGCGGGCCATTCGAAAGGCTTTCTACCACTGCGCGGCCTGCAGGGACGCCCCGCGCGGGGAGGACGGGGAGCGCACTCGCCGTTACCGGAAAATTCCAACCTTGGCGGACGTGAACATGTACTTCCCCAAGATGGAGGGCATGGGCGCCGTGTTCCTCGCGGGGCAGACGTACTACACTATGTGGTTCATGATCGTCCTGGCCTCGCATTTCGTTCTGCGCCCTCAGGTCACCGAGATGAAGACCTGGTTGGCAGAACGTTGGGGCCTTGCGTCAGTGGGGATGGCCCAGGGCGGCAGCGGGGCCGGCCGCGCCCTCCGAACCGACGTGACCGACGAGACCGGCGATGTTGCTGGCGCCGTTGCGGTTCCGTGGATTCTAGACGCCCTGCGCGGCCATGATGTGCTCGTCGGCCTGGTCGAGCGTTTCGTGGGGTGCTTCCTAGACGGGCTCTGCGAACAGATCGAGAGCGAAGCTTGGTTGGCAGATGGTGCCATATTTGGTGCCGATGTGTGCGTGAAGCTAGC